TGATAAGAATTTTACAGCAAATATTCATTCATTAATTAACTAGGCTGTGCATTTTTTTTACCCACCATCATGACCAAAGTTGAACAAAAAAACACTGCCTAGCTAACTAGTGAATGAATATTTGCTGTAAAATTCTTATCAATGTTATAACTGTAGCTAACAGTTTGACAGTCAATTTTGATTTCATTCCTTTAAGTCGCACACTGAATCCATTTTTGGCCACACCTTTTTTCACACCGAAGGTGTTTTTGCTTAAATCTCTATTATTGTACAAATATTCTTAAGTTAAATTTATTTCCACAAAGGTTATTAAATAGATCTGTTTTTTAAAGGGAATATTGCCAATTTACTAAGTGATACTGAATTTCTACGGTGACTTTAAACTTAGAAATGTTGACTGGAAATCTATGAAACAAATTGACACAAACATAATGAGTTTACGTGCTTTCTGGATGCTGGACTCATGAATTGATCAACTGGTTTTCTTACCTCAAGATGTCTTCCTACCAAACAATTCACTTGAGATCTTGTGTAGTTGTTAAATTTAGTGTTCCACACCTAACAAGAAACATCATCTATTTTATTATTTGTACTTCTAGTATTACAATAATAACAATTTTACCTACCCTTAAAACTACTACTGTACTATGTTTCCACACTTCCTTTTCTATGAAACTTTTTTTTTCATTTAGTTTATCCTGGCTTTTACCAATGTCTAATCCTAGTTTAAATCTGCCCTTATAGCTAAGTTAATAATCCTTGCTAACAAGTCGGTCTGTACTCAAATGAAATATAAACCATCCATTCCAAAAAGCTCCCATTGAAATGATCCCACAAGTTAAACTAGCCAATCTATTTGTCCAAACATATCTAGTATTACCAGATATACTGCATGTTCGTTAAATTTATTTTCTTTTTCATATAATTCCTGACATTGAAACACGGCATTGCTCAAGAGGGTTTCTAACTTTTCCCAAGAGCTGATTGGATGAAGTGGATGTTTGGTACCGTCATGTCTGATTCTCTTACAGTAATAACAACATGCTGTTTAATTAGCATGCTGAGCTGTTCTTGTATTTGAATTGGGAAGTATTTGTGGGTTGACTCACCCATTATTTTCACAGCCCATTGACCAACTGATCTATCGGGCATCAGTTGTTGTTTTATTTTGTAAAAAACTTAGGGTTAATTGTCATATTTGAAACAATGTTGGGGCCTGAAACAGAAGATTTTCACAAGATTTCATGTAGGTTTACATAAATGTCCAAAGATTTATACAACAATTCATATGTTTATGCACATATTTGCCAG